ATGCCGATGGTGATGGATATTATAGCAGAAACATGAGCTTCAATTTGACTTTGCTTCTTTGGAATAAATAAAACTGCTTTATGTTTGCATGAGTGAGGGTGTTCTAAGTAACCATCAACAATTGAGTTGCTGCTTTAGAAAAAGTTGGTTCAAGTCATTGCATTGACTTCTCTGACTTCAAATGCAAAGGTCTTTTGTAAAGGATCAACACAATTTAGAGTATCCAGAGTGTCTACAGATTAAACAGCCAGTTTTGAAAGGGAAAGGTTTGTATCACTGAGGAGAAAGGGGGTGGTGGTGCTTGCATTTTTCTTTACCTGCTGTGGCTGTCATTGAGTGGCTACTGTTGCTCTGACTTCCTTGTAGAATTCTCTCCAGTTTCCCAGATTAACTTTAGTGTTCCTCTGCTTTACTTAGCATCTCCCACCCATGCCCAAATCTATTTAGGAATCTGCCTGTGCATAGCTGGAATGCTTGCGGCTCAGTCCTGACCAGTAGCTGAAGGATGGCCCTAAACGACTCACACCTGTTGAAGCATGCTAGTAGTTTTAGATTCTAGAATTTTTTAGATTTCTTAACTAAGAGATCAGTTGGTATATCCTATTTTCTTATTAAGCACACAATTAGTAACTCATTTGGCCTACATTGTAACAAATTCTTCTCAAAACGGTGTTTTGAGGTTTTCATTTAGAACAGTGACTGCATTTCTAAGAAAACTGCCAAATTGAGTTTCTATAAATTCTTTGGTTTGTTTGTTTTTTGAGATAGGGTTTCTCTGTGTAGCCTTGGCTGTCTAAGAACTTCCCTTCATAGACCAGACCTTGAACTCACAAGAGATTCTCCTGCCTCTGCCTCCCAGGTTCTGGGATTAAAGGTGTGCGCCATCACCAGACTCTAGGGATAGATAGTTGCGGTTTAGCTCTAATGTTTGAAAACACCAATTGGCAAATGAAAGGCTCCTTTCGATTGTAGTGAGCATACTGTAACATAAAGTACTGTAACTCGAAGTATTATTTAATACACCACATAGTATTTGATCCGAATATTTTCTCTCACAGTATTCTTTAGTTTCAACCTGATATTGGGTAGAAAGGTTGTACTAGTTGGTGAAGCTTATGTTTTTGTTTTTGTTTTGTTTTTTCTTTTTTAGAAAAATCTTGTGCTGTGAATGAATGATGCACCTGAAACATTAGTCTCAGAATGTCAGCATCCTTTTTGTTAAGTGTTGGGAAAGGGGGAGCAGAGGCAAACCTGGCTCCTTTACTGTCTTGTTGCCACACTGCCTTCCCACAAACGAGACATCATCTTCCCTTTCTCTTTCACCCCTCCAAACCCTCCCATGAACCCCACCTTGTTCTCTTTCAGATTCATGGCCTCTGCTTCTTTGCTTTGTAAGTGTGTGTGCGTGTGCGTGCGTGCGTGCGTGCGTTCCTAAATAGAAAAATAAACACTGCTCCATCTGTGCAGCGTTACTTGTATGTATGTTTTCAGGGTTGACCTTTGGTATGCTCTTCCTTGGGGGAGACTGTTGCTCTCTCTGCTCTCTGCATTCCTTAGCTGCTCTAGTTCTTTGTCTAGGCCATGAGCTCTTCCATGTTAGCATGTCTGCTGGTGTTGTCCTCACTCAGGTCATGTTTTGACAGCCATCTCCTTGAGACTTGATGGGTGTGGATTTTATCTGGGTATCTAAGCACACTTATTTACACTGTAATAGGAATTGTGCAGGTTTGGGAAAATGATGGTTGCAGGTTCTCCTCCAAGACCCATGACTTCACTAGCCCAGGAGCTGACTAGGTTTCCTCTTAAGTCCAGTTAGAGAGCTGTTGTTACCACCAAGCTGTGTGTGCCACTCCTGCACCCGTAGAGTTGCTGTGCCAAGCTCTGTGGTTCATAGGCACCGGAGACTGTTAGCAGCTTCCCTTCTATGGAGGCTTTCAGGTGAGGTCCAGCTTGGATGCTTTGGCCCAGCCTTCAAAGAGTATGGTGTCCTTAGCAATGAAGACTTAGTTTTCACCTAGGGCAACCAAGGGCAATAGCCATCCATAATCTCTGATGTTTGGGGTGTCTCTTGGACAACCCTGACCAACAGTTCAGAGGTGGGGGGCTTCTCCCGCCTGTGTTGGAGTTTGGTTAGGTGGTCTTCGGCTCTTAAATAAAGCATTGTCAGCTAGATGTGAAATTTCCACTTAAATTACATGTGTATATTTTTATGTAATTTTAGATAATGTGATTGATTCCTTGTGACTTTTATGCATCCTTACTGTTATTTTAGCCTCCTATTTATCTCCCTCTCTTCCGTAGGTGACCCTACCCCCAATTTTTTCCATTTTCCCCTTAAGATCGATTGGACCAAGCTATGCTATTCCTTTCTATCCCCCCCCCAGCTCTACCGGTTTCTGTGGTTACTCCAGATTACATACTCAGTCTGAAGATTTGGAGCTGAGAGCTTCATGAGAGAGAGCACATTCAATGTCTATCTTTCTAGTCTGAGTTACCTTGCTCATTATAACCTTTGCTAGTTCTATCCATTTTTTTAGTTACCACAAGTAATATTTTTGGCATATTTTGCATGAAATTCTCCTGGCTGTGCTTCCTTTAAAACAGTCTCTTTTCATCAATAGAAAGAATGGGCATGTTGTCAGTTAAAACATGAGCAAATTTTCATTTAAAAATTTTCCTTTCTTGTGAAAATATGAAATTATAGTTACTCTTGGTTTTTTTTAAGCTACTATAAAAATGTTTACATATTCTCCAGCATTTGATGTTGCCTTTGATTTTGCTTAAACCTGTGTGGTACGGCTACATTGGTTGGCTCATGAGGCTTAGTTTGTATTTTCATGGTGACTTAGAATTACTTTTATCTTCTTATGTTCCTGTTTCTCATGGGGATGGCCTCTGCAATGACATTTCCTTTTTGCTCACTTTCTAGTTGGATTTTCTTTACTTTTTAGTCAAGACTCTTCCTTACTTGTTCTAGATCCATGTTCTAGCCAGATAATAGGGTTCATAACTTTTTTCAGTTTGAGTTCTCAGTAGTCTTAAAGCAAGATTTTAATTTAATGAAGGCCAGTTTATAGAGTGCATTCTAAGAGATTTTTATTCAGATTCAGTTTGTTTGTTAGGCAGTGAACTGGAGTTAAGGTGGCCAGCTGGAATGACCTAAAACTAAACTGTGAGACTTCCGTGCTCTTTAGGTTTTGTTGGTTGTGCTACGTAGGCAGTGTTCTTTTAATCCGGAGAGCAGGCAGTGTGGTGAGAGCACACTGGCTCTGTCCCCGTGTTCACATAGAGAATCTAATGTTTTGAATAATTATTTGTGTGTAGCTTGTGGCGGCCAAATTTAGCTGTGTTGGTTTTGCATTTTGTTTCTCTTCTGTTTAGGTCTGTGTGGACTCACTCAACCACTCCAGTCGAGTTTGTTGCAGGATTTATCATTCCATCTTTGACATGCTTCTGCATCTTTGTGAAAAATTAGTTGGAGATACATACGTCTGTTCCTGGGTTCTCTGTTTGGTTGCAGTTATCCCTGTGTGCCTTTGTGCTGGTACCACAGTGTAGAGCTCCAGCTGTGTAAGGTTTAAAACTGATGGACCTGTTCTTTGTTTTCCAGTTCAGTTTTGAAGTGGTTTTAGCTTTTCAGTGGGCTTTGTTGCTCCATATTAAGTTTAGAATAATTCTTGTCTGTGGTTGTAAAGAGAGAGACTTGTTCTGATCGTTGTATTAAATTATCCTTGAAACCATATGTACTCTTACTGTATTGCCTAGCAACTACACTTTAGAGTGGTTGTTGGAGGGAGACGTTTGGTTGACAGTGGGTGTGCACACAATATGTACGTCGGCTTTATCAGCAGTAGCCCAGTGTCCCTCAGTGGGTGAGTGGCTGAGTCAGTGGCAGCTTAATCCCTCACAGAATGCCCTTGCGCACTAGAGGAGTGAACACACTGTTGATACGGGCTTAGCTGAGTGGACCTCAGCAACACTGTGCTAAATCTGAAAAGCCCATGCTGTGTGACTTGTGTATGTGATTTGTGTTGTCTCTGTAAAAATAGCAAAATGCGATCTATCGAGTGTTGTTTGACAGGGTTTATAGGGGGCAGGAGTAAGTGTCTTGTTTGTAGTGATGAGTATCTACACATGCAGAGTGATGGCACAGAGAGACACCGTAAGTCCCTGTCACTGTCTGGGTTTGGAAGTTACCACTGTTGAAACAGCAGTTTGTGAATCTGTAATCATTTCAAAATTAAGAAGCCAAAAGTAGGGACTGGAGAGATGGCTTAGTAGCTAAGAGAGTCTGTTGCAGGCCTCTGGTTGGGCAGTGGTGGTGTATGCTCCTTTTGTCCCAACAATTGGGAGGCAGAGGCAGGCGGATCTCTGAGTTCGGGCCAGCCTGGTCTACAGAGCAAGTGCCAGGATAGGCTCCAAAGCTACAGGGAAACCCTGTCTTGAAAAACAAAAAAAAAAACAAAAAAGATATGATGGGTTCCACCTACACAGTGGGTCAGTGGGCCAGACCCCTGCTCAGTTTTGCTTGGGTGGCCTGAAAGGCCCAGCTCAGCAGGTGCCTGCTGCCGCCTTTCTAGACTTTGTACTTTGGGGTTTGTTTGTTTTTCTTTTTGTGATACTGGTGATTGCACCCAAAGCATCATATGTGCTAGGCTTAGATGTTTTTCTCTCTTTACATCTAGATACTAGCCAACTATCACAATTATGTCTACTCTCAGTAATTGGCCTAGAAATAGGATTGGTACTTGGTTGGATTTAGAATAAGAGGTTTTTGGTGGCAGTCTTTACAACAGCAAGTCATGAAAGCAGTTTGACCCTTTTCCACGTACATCTTAATACCTGGGGATGGGCCTTGCCCTCCAATTAAAATAATGGGATTGTTTTGTAAGATGTTTACTGTGCTTTCAGGCTCTTTGTATGATGCTCAATGTAGGAAGCTAGAGTTTGTGCATTTTTTGCATGTCTCATAAATATTTCCATCCTCACATGAAACTTAATAAACTTTTTTCTCTCCTCAGGTTTCTTGCTGTTTTGTAGCAAACAAGAAAAATGTTCTACGCACATTTTGTCCTCAGTAAAAGAGGGCCTCTGGCCAAAATTTGGCTGGCGGCCCATTGGGACAAGAAGCTAACCAAAGCCCATGTGTTTGAGTGTAACTTAGAGAGCAGTGTGGAGAGCATTATCTCACCAAAGGTAGGTGTGACTGTGGTGGTTTTTACGGCTTTGTTTATTCATATGTGAAATGGAATTTGTAAAACAGCTGCAATTGTACATTGGAAGCAAGGGAGGCCTCAAGGTAGCTTCTCCAAATGTCTTTCCTCATAGTAATCTTTAAGATTTCAGTACAGTAATGAGCATGATGTATAGACTGGCATTGAGAAATTCTCTTTAGGCTCTGTAGCCTGACCCGCCGTGGTCTTTATTGTGTGTGTGTGTGTGTGTGTGGCGGGGTATATCTGGGGAATAATGCTGAATGGCAGCAGAGGCTCGTTCTTAAACTTTGTGTGGAAAGGTCTATTTTTAGGTGGAGGGCTTGGGATTAACGTTTTTATTCTATAGAAGTTGTGCTGGTTTTACAATTAGTAGCATATGGAACTGACTGAGCGTGTGTCTTTCTTTTATAACCTTCCTAGGACAGTTCTGACTTGAAGTTTTTAGGAACAGGAAGGCTGGACAGACAGGAAAAGTTATCAGAAGCCCTAGCACATAGACCATGCTGGCCTGATAGTATTATAGGTGTCTATGTTAGACACGGTATTTGCTTTATTGCTTACTTAAAAGTAAGTTTAGTGCCTTGTAATTGGCTGTATTCAGAAACAGTGATGTTTACAGCTCATTTAATTGTGGCACAACATTGGAGTCCCCTGTCTCTAGAATGTTCAGGAACTGAAAGGCCTCACATCATTAGAGGATTTGCAGTGAGGAAAGGTCCTTGTTTGGGTTGACCGTGATTCATTTAAGCCTTCTCTACTGGACTAGTTTACATTGTTTCTAAGTTTTTGAACTCTTAATTCTTCTGGTACTGTGAAATGCAACTGTTTAAACGACAGCAGAATTATGCCTTGAAGAAAAAGTCATATTTCCAGGCCAGAGAATTGATTTAGGCAGTAAAAGTGCTTGCTCTGCAAGCCTGGTGGCCTGGTTTCAGGTCCCTGAAACTCCTGGAGAAGCAGAATGAGGTGGCAGCTGTCTGTGATCCTGGGCAAGGTTGAATGGGCTTAAAACAGGAGGGAACAAACACATCCCACGTCTCCAGAAAGGGCCGCAGGCCAGTTAGCCTGGGGTACACAGCACAGTGCCAAGCAAGAAGAGGGGCCTCCTGCAAAACAGTAAAGAGGAGAGCACTAACGGTGTTCAGTAGGCTAAAAAGTATTTGCCATGGAGCCTAACCTCCCCAGTAGAGTCCCTGGGACCCACGTGGTGGAAGGAGATAACCCTGACCCTACAAGTTGTCCTCTGACAAACACAAAGGCACATACTAAATACGTGTAATTAGAAAACACGGTGGCAGACAGCTTTTGAGCCCTGTGGCTGTCCTCTAACCCTATAGACATGTACACACATACACATTATACTTGCGTACTTAAAATCACACATGCTTTCTTAAAGGGTGGTCTTTTCAGTGAATAGTACTAGAACAAATGGTGTCATCATATATGAGAGTATGCACCGGATTTCTTCCAGGAATAAGTTAGTGAGTCTAATAATAATGAGTCTGACTTGTCTTTTGCTGTGTGGTAGCATGGGTATAAGCTGAGAGGTTAGTTAAATTTTCTCCAGCACTGAAGCACATTGTACCTTTGTAAAACACTGTTGAAAGAGCAAAAAGACACTCAGATGATACTGTTGGAGGAAAATTATTCACGCTATACAGAGAACTCTGGAGACATATAATTTCTCCTTTTTAACAACTTTTGTCCGAATTGGATCAAAGAAAGTATGCAGAAAGCAAGTAAATACATTTAAAGGTGTTTCCACATCATTTGATCAGAGAAAACATTAAAACAACCAAATGTCATTATGTATTTATTAGAATGACCAAAATCCAAGACCCCAAGAATACTCAGCGTCGGAGAGCGCGTGCAGCAATAAGAACAGCTCACACCTGGTGGGGATGTGAATTGTGGGACCGCTTTGCAGTGAGAGCCAGGAGTCTTTCCCTGGTATTTACTCAGAGGTAGTTGAAGACTTCATGTCTATACTTTACTCAGAGTTGCCGGCGATACAGAGCACCTAAGAGATAGATCCTCGGTGCCTGAGCTGACCAAGTGTATACAAAAGCGCTGCTCTGGAAGGCTTCCTGCTGCAGGCTTGTGGCGTGGGACACTCCTGTGGTGGTAGAGGGAAAATGAGAGGTTGGGGAAAGGAGGGACTTTAGAACTGGGCTGACACAGGCTTGATTTCAGTGTAATGAAGCTGTGCTGCCTGCTGTCATGGCGAGTGCATGGCCTTGTCCATGCAGCCATCTAAAGTGGACTTTGGGTCACCATATGACTGTAGCATTAGGTTGGGTGTTGTTGGCAGTGAGCCACTCATGTGTACGGGAAGTCACTTACATGTGAGTGAAAGCTGCCGTGTAAATGTGCTGAAGCAGACATTGGTCCCAGAGTTCTGAATGAACAGTTTTTGTATGCAGTCCTTTTAATGATAGAATGCAGTATGCACACAAAATTGTGCATATGGAGAAGGTATGTGTGTGTCCAGAGTCAGCGTATAAAAACGTGTGTGTGAGAGAGCACACAAAGCCTAGAATGTATAGCAAGACATTAAGTTTCTGTAGGTGGTAAGATTGAGGGCTTTATTTCTCCTTTTTAAGGTAGCCAGCTATATAGTAATCGTTCCTGGTTAAATCTCTCTGATCATATCCTTAAATTGTCCTTAAGGTTTAGGAAGATAATTGATGGGCTGGCTGATTATAAACTTTAATATTGTAACAGTGGGCTTCCTGTTGCACTAGTTTGCACAGCTGGTCCGGTTATTTGGGAACACGGTAGGTGTTTTGGTTTTTTTTTTTAGTGCTCATTGGGAGAGTGTGTTTTTTTGTTAGAGTCCATAAATGGTGTGAGGACTTTGGCTTTAGTGGATGCTCTTCGTAGCATACATAGAGTACTTTGTACACCACAGAAAGGGGGAGACTGGGGTAGGTGAGTGCGCTCACAGACATGGAGACGTTTGACAGTCGTGAAAAAGATTACTATGGGGCAGCACAAATGACTTAAAATATTTAAGGCACTTCTAGGTGGTTTTTTATTTGCCTATATTGGAATATGGTGTGAAGCTATGGTGAACTGACCTGAAACTTAGTTTGCTTTGATGAGCACTTTGTGTGAGGAAATTGTTTGCTTATTGAGAGTGTATCAGACTTGTGGCTCTAGCATACTTCAAGCTTACACGAATTCCCCGACTCCTCCGTTAAAGGAACCTTGGTCCTCATACTTATATTTACATGGCTTGAAAGCACGTCTTGCTTTGTTTTACCCACTCTAACCAAACTAGTTCAAAAAGAAAGCCCTTTGTCCAAGGAAGTCACACATTTTGGAAGTTGCTCATTCCAGACAAGGAAGAGGTGTTGTCTTTCTTAGGCTGCAGTACCATCTATAATTTGAAAATCCATTAGACCACATACATGTAGATAGATTTTTTTCCCATTAATTAGGGATGGGATATTAGAAATTACTTTTTGTATCCTAAATTTAATGACATTTGTTATAATTTGATGTGTCTAAAAATTTACGCTAGCAAATTTGTTTTTGCTTTAAATCACATAAGATAACCATAAATACAGAGATTAGATTGCAAATAGGGTCCTAGAAAAATTCAGACACACTTTAAGTAACAATGCATATAATTTAATTTTAGGCATATGCTTTAGCAAAAAACATGTTTTTACCATAGAACTTGGGAAGCTTAAGTTTGTGGTATGATTTGGAAAAACCATCTGGGGAACTCTTTGAGTTGATATTTTTTATTCTTTGAATTATTGTTTTTTTCTTGTAGTCAGGAGATTTTGAATACTTCTGTTGAGCTCATTATTAGTGTTATCTGTTTGGGTCATTATTGTGTCTTCCAATGTAGTAACAGAAAGGAATGAACAGTGGCTTACCAAGGGAAGGTGTTACAGGGATGTTCTAGGGCAGATCTGATTGGCTGGCAGCTCATAGACATCCCAGAGCCTCAGCATTCAGCCCATTGACTCTTGTCCGTTTTCCTGTCTTCACGCGGCAGGGAGGGAGAAGGACAAAGATGTTCTGTTTTTTTTTCAAAGTCTTTCTCAAATTTCCTGGCAAATGTCACCCTTATTTCTACTGACTGAAATGTATAAGCATGCCTGGTCAGTAGCAAGTTTTAACAGACAGGGCTGAAATAATAATCACTTCATGGCTAGGAGCACCGGCTTCTGAAACAGTCACAGTTCTCGTTCTCCTTGGTAAAGTCATGGGCAGATTGCTTCCTGCTCCGTGGCTACCTCTATGTCTAAGTGAATTCTATATGACTACTGTTCAGTCTGGGTTAAGGGAGCTTCTCAAGGAGTGGCTAAGTTAGAGCAATTAATGGTAAGGAGCAAATGTTTATTAACCAACTTTAATGGTTAAATGAAAGTCCCTATACAGTAAAGTACACTTAGCTCGATGTTGAAGGACAATGAATTTATTACTGTCTTACTCAGGTGAAGATGGCACTACGGACATCAGGACACCTCCTCCTGGGAGTCGTCCGGATCTATCACAGGAAAGCCAAATACCTCCTCGCAGACTGTAATGAAGCATTTATCAAGATAAAGATGGCTTTCCGGCCAGGTATTGTGACTTTCTTTCTTGTCTAAGCTCTGGGGTTTCCCATTCTTCAGATGGAAGTTGCTGAACAATACTCCAGATAGGTGTGCTTTGTTTTCGTAGCAGCATAAGGAACCCTTTGGAGGACAGCTGAAGTACTTCCATTCTTGGACTAAGGAGTTAGTGTAATTTCAGCATCCTACACACAACAGCCGAGTCATCAGAGCTGAAGTGTGGAAAACTGGTAGATGTGTGGTGAATTTTTAAAAGACGGATAGGGAAATGCCGCTGTCAGGGTTTGGTGTCTCCCCCACTCCCCCCCCAAAAAAATGTTAATGTACTTTTAAAATCAGACAACATTTAATCCTGAGACGTTAACATTGTTTGTTGTGTTGTTGCTGTTGTTTTGTCTGGGGTGAGATTTGATTCTAACAGTACCTACTCACAGGTGTCATGCTGACACCGAGGAACTGTTACCTGTTTAGAAGTGATCTGAATGTGGGCTGGGTTAGCTGAGTTGGCCCACAGGAAGGACCTGGCACGAGTCCCCGGGGCCTGTGGGAAAGCTGGGAGGGATGGCACCTGTCTCCAACCCTATACTGGGAGGGAGGAGATGGGGCCATCCTGGGGCTCTGACCAGCTAGCCTTGCAGAAGCTGTGAGCTGTGTGTCGAGGGAGAGGTCCTGTCTCAATACTGAATATTTGAATGTATATGGCGTGCTTTATATAACTTGTATTGAGGCTGTACATGACAGTAAACTACATAGTATTCTATTTTGGCCTAATAAAATATGCTTATTGTAGATACCAGGATAAATGGGTTTGTTTTTGTTTTCTCAATACTTGTCATTCCATTTTATTTTTGTTTTTCGAGACAGGTTTTCTTTGTGTGGCCCTGGTTGTCCTAGAACTCGATTCATAGACCAGGCTGATCTCTGTTTTAGAGTACTGGGATTAAAGGTGTGCGCCACCACCACCTGGCTTGCCATTTTATTTTTAAATATTTTTATCATGGAATGTTTTAAGCGTAACTAAAATTGTATTACTTGTTTTCCTAAAATAACCAACTACTGATCTAGGGGAGATTACTTAGCGGTTTTCTTAACATTTAAACACGAAGGGCATGAGTTTAGCACCCACATTATATGAAAAAAAACAGGGTTCAGTGGCATTTGGAATTCCAGGACTGGGGAAGAACATGGTCCCTGAGACTTGTTTTACATCTTGTCCAGCCTAATTGTTGAGCTTCAGGGCTGATGAGAAACCTTCCTCAAGAAAGGTGGTGAGCCGTTGAAGTCCCCTGACCTAGCCCTCTGACTTCCACACTGCACACAAGGAAAACATGATCAGATTAAAGAATGCGTATTTATTATTCTCCTTTGCAACCATTCCTATTGCCTCTAAATTTCATGGTAGAAAGTAGGAAGCTAACGGTGTTTGTTTGTTTGTTGACATGCCCTTAGCTAGATGCATAACCTGTGCCTGGACTGTTTTTGTAGAACAAGCGGTGTGGCTTCTGGGAATGTGACTGCAGTCGAGGGCATTCATCCGCCGCCAGCCTTTCTCGAGTATAACCTCCCAGAGTTGTCGTCATGCTCCCCGTGGCCCACGCATAATCTGCTAGGCTTTCAATCTGGGCGTCTGTCTTCCAGGTGTTGTCGATCTGCCTGAGGAGAACCGGGAAGCAGCTTACAATGCCATCACTCTACCTGAAGAATTCCATGATTTTGACCAGCCACTGCCAGACTTAGAGTATGTCTCTCTGCATCTCCCCCCTTCTGGCTCTCCTCCTTCCCTAACCCCCATCGTTTAGCCGGGTAGCTGACTTCCAGGTGTATCCGTTGCCTTCATGTTTGATACTTCGTTGAGAGTGTGTTGATCTTAAGTGTAAGATCTCTGGGAAAGTCGTGTGCATATCAGCATCTATCTAACACAGTGGGAGAGTCCTAACGGACTTGGGCAGAGCTTACAGATCCTGAAGACTTGTCTAGGCGTGTTCTTTACATGAAGCTGTCAGTAAGCTTGGAACTTGTTTCCAGATGATTTTTTCAGAGAGATATATTACAGATACATATTGGTTGTCTTAGCAAGCTGTACTGAAGGCTACAATTTTCAAAATACAGATATGTGATGGGTTGCAGTACCCTGTGAAGAATACGAAAGTATCATTATTGAAAATACATTTAAAAGGAAAAGGTTACATGGAGACGACTGTTTTGCAGAGAGCAGTTGTGTGTTAACTTTCTTGCCAGTCATTAAAGTCTAGCTACTCTGCTGGAATAGCAGATGTGACAGTGCCTTACCACAACGTGACAGCAGCCTGTTTACCCTTCTAATTGAAGGCATGAGCATAGAAATGGGGTCTAAAATGAGGTGGACTAAAGTCTCAGGCAACAGCCAACTTTATTCAGAGCATCAGACAGTTTACACTCCAAGGGTTGAGAAGAGTAAAGAGTACAATCAAAAGGACAAGCCACAGGTGACAAAAAACATTCTTTTGCATAGAGCTCGCTCCTCTCCACGACATCTGGGAGGAGCATGACAACACATTCTAAGAGCAAGTCCGTGGTTTGAAGAAAATGACATCATAGCAATTTCTATGGGCTCCTTGGACTGTGTTCTGACACCAGCCCTCTAGACTAAATGCTCCATTTATTCCACAACACATTTTCTTGCTTATTTGAAAAGATCTGACTCCTGATGGATTTTTAACCAGTTTTCGTCGTGTGTTAATTGTGGCTGGGCACTGGCTGCCTAGCATTCGGAACCTCGGTTACTTTAGCCTTTCTACTAGCCCGATGCCAGCCTTTCAAGCTCACGTCCCACTTTGTTAATGGCAGGTAGTTTCTTTTGGAAAGCTTGTGCCTTTAGAAGCAAGATACTTACAGCATCTGTAATAATTTGCTTTAAAAGGCCTGTGATTGGTCAGCTGGGTTGGTATTTTTGTTGTGGTATTGGTCATTTGTTGTGCATTTGCAGATAGTGTTCTTACCAGTGATTAACATGATGTACTTTTATATTATACAAGGGATGTTATTTGTTAGTAAATAAACGAGTTTCAGAAGCATAAGGAAGTTGAGAGTTGATACCCACCCTGTACTTTCAGAAGTGATACATAAGTAGTTCAGCCTTTGTAAATTTTTTCTCTACAATAAATACCATGTTGCCTTGGGTAGTGATTCTAACGTATTTTGCTAACCTGTGATTAATGACTTTAAATTTTCAAATGCAAATTAACTTTCAAATCATATTAGGGCTATATTGAAGTTTGTTGACTGTAGCGTTAGGCTTCTCAAAGTTGATAGGGTATATAGAGAAAATTGGGCTACTTTGTGAAGCTTGATAATGTGTATTTGAACTTTATTTTTAAAGTGACATCGATGTCGCCCAGCAGTTCAGCCTGAACCAGAGCAGAGTGGAGGAGATAACCATGAGAGAAGAAGTTGGGAACATCAGTATCCTGCAGGAGAATGATTTCGGTACAAGCACATTGCTAATCGCTAGTTAGATTTGAACTATGTTGTTACATTGTCAGGAATTACAAAGGATGGTAGACTAAAATTATTTCTGTGCGGACAGAAACACTTAACGTGTCTAACTGTGCGTCAACAACTTGCCTAGGTACTGTGTGTGAGGCGTCGTGCCCGTTGGTATACCAGAGCCCATTGGGGTTCTTGCTGCACCTGCGCTTGGAGTGTGTAACGTTGCAGTGCTGTGGTAATGCCCACTCTTGAGCTAGCTGCTTCGGCACAGTTCATTGCACTACTGTGTATGTTACTCGGAAACTTGAGTGGTCAGATTGGCAGTCATTCCCATTCTTTTCTGGATAGCAGCACTTTATATCAAAGTTGAAGTCTGTGAATGCTAATGGCACGTTCAGTTGACGTTATAGACGTTCTGATGGCCCAAATTGTGCTAAACGTTCCCCAGAGGTACAAAGTTTAAGCCAGGTGTTTTAATACTTGCCGCTAAAGAAGACTTCAGTAAGCAATGCAGCATCATAGCTGTAATAAATCATCAGCCTTTGCAAGAGTGGCATGCCTGACTTTGCACAACTAATGCCATTTACCGTGTGTAGGTGACTTTGGGATGGATGACCGTGAGATAATGAGAGAAGGCAGTGCCTTTGAGGACGACGACATGCTAGTGAGCACCAGTGCCTCCAACCTGCTCTTAGAGCCCGAGCAGAGCACCAGCCATCTGAACGAGAAGATCAACCACTTAGAATATGAAGACCAGTACAAAGACGACAACTTCGGGGAAGGCAATGACGGCGGTATCCTGGGTGGGTGTGAGCTCTTTCTTCACTTGTGTTGCAGAATAGACACCGACTCCAGATGCAAATGGGGGAACTGGGATCGGTTGTCCCAAAGCTTTCTAGAAAACTAGCCAAAATGCTGAGCTTTGTGTTCATGCTTCTGTGAAGAGTTCAGAATTGTACTAGTTGTTCAAGCTGTTGTGTTATTTGATAGTTTGTGGATATATGAACTAGAAATAAAAGTGATGGACAGAAGTTTTTTCAGATACTAAGTGTGTTATGCCTTTATAAACTACCTGGAGAGAAACAGATGCAAATTGAATATAGGTTTAAATTTAATCCCCTTAAACCTAATTTTTTTTTTTTTTTTGTCCCTTGATTAGTTATTGTGGTTTTCCCATTTCTTTTTCCGATTTTAACTGTTACATTTTCTATTTCAGATGACAAACTGATAAGTAATAATGATGGTGGCATCTTTGATGATCCCCCTGCTTTGTCTGAGACGGGGGTCATGTTGCCAGAGCAGCCCACACACGACGATATGGACGAGGATGACAACGTGTCAAGTGAGCATTTTATGTTTCAGGATTCTGGGAGTGATGGGCTAGGATGGCATAGCCACAGAAGACAAGTCATAAAACAGACAATAATAACACAGATTCTACCTCTGAGTAAATTGTAAATACCCTTGGCCGGCTGGCTTAGGGTTGATGGCTAGTTCACATGTTTTCAGTGTGTACTCTGCTGTTCCCCTCTTTTGTACATTGCAGTGGAGTTCTGCACGGTCTGCCTGGAAAATATTAAATTCGTTTTCTTAAAACCCATGGGGTGTTGTTACACTTCCTCAGCAGGGTTTCTTTTTCCGTTTGTAGGGTGTGCGTGTTGCACCTGAGTCTGTTATGACCGTGTTGCTTTTCCTTACAGTGGGTGGGCCCGATAGCCCCGACTCAGTGGATCCTGTTGAGCCAATGCCAACGATGACTGACCAGACAACACTTGTCCCAAACGAGGAAGAAGCCTTTGCATTGGAGCCCATTGATATAACTGGTGAGCAAATCCTTAGACTGCAGCGTGTAGAACATAGGTGGTGTCTTCTTTCTCTGCTGCTGCTTGCGCTTGGATCTGTCGCCCTCTTTGCTCTGTCCAGTGTGATTGGATGTCTTGTGGACGATCTACCTGTAGAGTGAGCTGCGGGGGGTAAAATCACAGAGCAGGTTTTCTGTTATTGTGTATTTTAGTCTTTGGGGTTTTCACATACAATGTCAGTAATCTTGGGGCCAGTGAGATGGCTCAGTGCGGAAAGAGGACCTGAGTTCATTGACTCCCCCTGACCCTCATGGTGGTAACAGAGAACCAGTGCTCTCAGTGGTCCTCTGATGTGCAAGTGTGCCCCTCATTCAAACACACCAAAACTAACCTCTAACAACTTCTGTTAATATATCATACAAGCTAAGTAAATAAAGCAAAAAAAAAAAAAAAAAAAAAACTGGAACCATCAATAGGCATCTCAGACTACTCTAGACATTGAGCATTTTACAGCCCCTATAAGTAGTTGGCCTATTTTGAACAAAATAACGATTAGGCACTGTGAAGTTTCTTTTCGTGGTCACATATAAAACATTAGAAAGGGCAGCAGGCGGTAGTGGCACCCGCCTTTAATGCTAGCATTTGGGAGACAGAGGCAGGCAGATCTCCTTTGAGGCCGGCCTGGTCTACAAAATGAATTCCAGCACAGACAGGGCTACACGGAGAAAAAAAGTTAGGACTAGCCAGGTGTGCTGACACATGCCTGTAATCCGCCACCTGGGAGGGAGTCAGAGGCAGGGAGATCTGCCCATCAGGGCTTCTCACACAGCAGCAGCAGAAAAAGCACTCAGAACTTGGTGAACGTCCCTACCAAATGGTCAGCCCTGAAATGTGTATATATACAAGTGACATTATACACACTGAACAGGTGGTGACTGTGTGTTCATGCACAAGAGGCCATGAATGAAGACAGTGGGGCCCATGGGGAGGGCGAGGGGGAAATGGTGAAACTGTGCCCTTAGAAAGCGAAGACTACTTAACAATAAATATGCACTATTTCAAAAGAAAAGAGCGTCAGAGCTCAGGGCTTCTCACCTGACGGGTGTGGTGTGGTGTGGTGTTTACAGAATAGAGCTATGTGGGCTTCACGGGATTGACTGTTGGACTATTTTACCTGTTTTATGCCAAAAATCTATTATTTTGCAATTAATAAAATAAAAATCTATAAATTTGCAATCAACAAATTTCTGTTGCACGCCAGTGTGGTACATAATGCTTGAAAAACATCAGTTAAGTCATCCGGTCTTCATGAGGAAGGACTTGCTCTAGAGAGAAGAAGATAATGGCCAGGCCAAGGTGTGGGGAGAGCGGCCCAGGCTGGCCTGTCAGGAAAATGACCTGTGTTCTCTTGTTCTAGTCAAAGAAACAAAAGCCAAGAGGAAGAGGAAGCTGATTGTCGACAGTGTCAAAGAATTGGACAGTAAGACCATTAGAGCCCAGCTCAGTGATTATTCGGATATTGTGACAACTTTGGAAATGGCTCCGCCCACCAAGAAGCTGATGATGTGGAAGGAGACGGGGGGAGTGGAGAAGCTGTTCTCCTTGCCGGCACAGCCTCTGTGGAACAACAGGCTACTGAAGGTAGTGCGGCTGGCTGCTGGTCTTTGTGTCCGTGCGTGACTTCCGGCCACACTGACTTGTGGGCCTTGGCTTGACCATTCTGACGAGATGCTTCTCAGCCCTGTGGCCCTGCCGTCGTCCCCCCTTAAATCCAGCGTGCCGAGTCAGCGCCCCCCCAAGCGTGGGTGGGAGGGTCTTCCAGGTGTAGAAAGCCGTGTTAATGGACGGTGCACCCTCCTGAGCTCCTGACTGTGTGCTGTGCCTCTCCACATTGGCATGCTTTAATTTGACAGCAATGCCTTCAGCCCCAAACCCATGCTACTTAGCAGTTTTCAGCTCACTAGCCTTCCAAACTCCTACAAAATAAGTTTTGTGGCGAATGTTGCTTGAATGGTGCTGTTAGGCCGTGAGAGAAGCGGTTGATTTTTCTCGACAGTACTACAAAGCAGCAAGATTCTGAAGGGCTGCTTTTTATTGGAAACCCTGTCATAGAGTCTTGAAGAAGACCTGTAAAATGTTTACTCTTTGGAAGGAGATACTTCTTCAGTGGCAAAGCCACTAGTATATGCCCTGTTGGTATAACTAGCCCCACAGCCATGTTCATGTGTGGTTCCTAATTAAACTCATCACACTCGGCTCACAGGGGAAAAAAAAAGACAAGAGACTTGAAGGTAGAAAGACTACTTTGAGTTCATGTATTAAAATAACCATAATAAACCCATTTTCTTAATGAATGTAGGCTAATTAAAAACTCAAAATTAGTCTTCAATGGATTTCATTTTTGTCTAAGCAAGAATTTAAAATTTGGGGTAAAACTGCTTCTGTGAATTACATTCATTACATTGCTGTTTATAGTTTACAATGTGAGGTGCTCTTTTGTGAAATAATCACATTTTTCATGCTTGTTAATAAGTAGGAATATGTTGTGTGGCGATGTAGAATTTCACATAGTAGTTCAGGTTGTAAAACTCTTCAGTTTTGTGACAGGTAAAGTGTAAAATTTATCAATGAAATAAGTGCAGGCAAGTAAATTTAAAGCCTTGAAGCTTAATAGATAGTTGTTTTCAACCTTCTAAAATGACTGCAGTTCTAATGTGCACACTTGTATTTCAAGTAATTTTGGGGTGGGATGAAGTGTTAAGGGAAGCATGCTGTCTGTACTGCTGGTGTTGAGTTGGTGTGATGTCACAGCTGCTGTTTCTCTGTTTGTGCCAGCTCTTCACGCGCTGCCTGACACCCCTTGTACCGGAAGACCTTCGGAAAAGGAGGAAAGGAGGGGAAGCGGACAATTTGGATGAGTTCCTCAAGGAGTTTGAGAACCCCGAGGTCCCTCGAGAGGAGCAGCAGCAGCAGCAGCAACAGCAGCAGCAGCGTGATATCATCGGTCAGTTCTGCTGAGAGGGTTCCCACACGAAGCTTAGCGCCCACTGGCGCGCTGTGCTGCCTTCGGGGGCGGCCGTGGGGGTGCACTGTCTCCTGGTACTGGTTCTTACTGCCTTTCTTCTTTAGGGAAAGTAACCATATCTGTGGCCTAATGTACTAATTTTAAAAGCACATTGTTCCAAAATATTGTTGAAAACTAAATTCTTTTCTTGTGATAATTGCAGATGAGCCCATTTTGGAGGAGCCCAGCCGCCTCCAGGAGTCAGTGATGGAGGCCAGCAGAACAAGCATAGAAGAGTCCGCCATGCCCCCACCACCACCTCAGGGAGTTAAGCGAAAAGCTGGACAAATTGACCCGGAGCCCCCCGTGATCCCTGTAAGTAAACAGTAGGACATGATCATTCGGTTAGTTAGTTGCAAGTTAAGGAGTCTTTTAGGTCAGTGGTGTTGGTTTAAGCACAGAATGGCAAGCACCACTTGCAGAAGACTAGCAGTTGAATTTAGGAACGTAGTCTTTTTTATCCTGTGTTGGAAAGGGTGTTAATGAACTCAGTAGAGCCTTCTTGGTGGTGTGTGAATAGTCTTACTTCACAGTGGTCCAAAAGAAGTAACCTTGGTCCATCTTCCATCAGTGGGCTCCAAACCTGTACTGGGTTATTTGAAAAATCCCTACCTCTCTCCAATATCGGGCAGGTTTTTAAATAATCGTTACATTCTCAAATAAATGAAAAACAGTGAAGTAATAAGTGACTACTTCATTTAAGACCTCATTAATTAATTAAGATAAATTAATTTGAGGAAGAAAGCTGGCCTTTGGTAACATTGGGCAAAACTACTGACCGTACAGCTGCTTGCCAGCCTTGAACTTTCTCTGGCCTGTGATGGGAGGACTTGTCAGTAAGGACCCTTATTTTCTCTATGAACACAGACACAGGGCATGGACAGAGCCTGACTGCTCTCCTGGTTGTTTCTTAGGGGCTTTTCTAATGCTCTGAGATACTCATATTAATCATA